CAAAAACTGGTTTTGCAGAAAACCGAGACTTCAAGAGCCATGGGCAAAAATCCTTTTAGGCTTTTTACCAGCTCGATGTGCTCTATAAAACGAGGTATGAATGAAGGAAATCGGAGTTGGGCACCTGAGGTGGTTCCCTTTTCAGCGTTGTATTTTGGAAAAATGAAACTGTATAAAGAACGTAGAATTTAGTAAAGAAACGTAGAATATTTATATTACTTTTTTCTCGCTGATCTCTGTGTATATAGTCACAGATGTACTCGTCTGTGAATAGATTTGTAGTTTAACCCTAGCTACCTGAGACCACTCCTCTGTATGAAAATACCAAATAAACAATACTCATGAGTATTGCCAAAAATTATATGAGTACTCAAAGTTGTAGCTATAGTACTCATTATTCACTCATGGGTACTCAGAACACTTTAGTACATTCACTAGGGCTCCATACATTACCTCATTTAAACTTATTTTTATTCCGATCAAATTCGATGATACGAAACAATCTTCCATCGGAATACCGGTTAATAGTGCAAATGGATAGAATGCTAAACCTAGAAGATACTTTTCAAAACAAAAAGAAAATATGATAATGTTGAATTTAAAACTGTTTAAGATAAACAAAATTAAACTTACTTGAAAATTAACTTCGGGATGCTGGACAAGTGAAAATATCCATGATATTACATTATCTGTTAATGTCAATACACTATTCAATAAAAATGCGAGAAAATATTTAAATATGATGAAAATAAATATCAGTGTTATCTCGGGCTGAACAAAGTATTTTCGTAATGAAGTATCAAAACCGATTGTCAAAAGACACATTTTACACCCACATATCTAATATTTTAAGAAAACAAACGTGAAATTTTCTCCAGAATCAGCGCTTATATTTGTTTTAAAAAACACGGCACAGCTTTTTCACAACTGTAAATTTTACTTGAAAAACCGTTTTCTGCAACTAAAAACTTTTATCAACGAGAACCCAGCGGCTTGTTCAAGCGTAACGGCGTGACATTTTCGACATATAGTTTTTATAAAAATTGAGAATGACTAAGCGGTAGAAGAATGATTCTACCGCCATTTTATACAGTTCACTGTTCCCTGCCCCTGGTAAAAAAAATGAGAAAATTTGAGTAATAATTACGCCTTTGCGAAGGAATATTCGGTGCGTGGGGAGCACGACAAAAAAAGGCCTTAAATTGCGAGTACATCAAATTAATCGCCATTTTCCTGCGAAACTACTTGAGTAAATGGAAACTATCTAGAGTGGACATTTTAGCGAAGCTTACGAGCTATTCAATATCAAAAAAAATTTTCTTCTAAAGCCTTTCCCTCGCTTAAAAATGTCAATAAATAAATATGACACACTTTTTGTCAGTGAATATTCAGGAATATAATATCCTTCAAAAACTTGATTTTTATATTTCCCAGAGATTTCGTGGTATTCCATCGATTTATGTGAAAAATAAAGTTGAAAAATTTTTTTCGGGCTTTTAAACTTGACTGGAACCCTGAAAGATCGAAAAGGCAAGTTTTGTTCCTAAAGTCGAATTGTCGAAAAAACTGAGCCATATTGTCGAGAATTTAATTTCCTACCGAATAGCGTAAATTTTTAAATTTTATTATTTTTTTAAAAGTTTCTAGGTCAAAAATTTTAAATTAAGATTATTTCACTAAAATTTTTGTTTTTATTTCCTAAGAACGTTGGATTCATAATCGGCGCGAAAAACTGCATCTGGTGGTGTGCTCATAGCGGTTTCCGAATAATAAAAAGTTTTAACTTAATCAGCGAAGTGTCGCGTTACGTGATAAACCGCTAAAAGCTGAAAACGTTCATTTATCATTCATTTCGACTACGCAGTTTACGCGCACAAACCAAAAAAAGATGGATATATTCAGGTCTTGGTTACAATTTTTGGCTTTCGTCTTCCAACCGATCCTCACTCAAGTCTAATCTTTCAAAAGTCTTCTATGTCAAACATCTTGAAAATTTTTTTCTTTCTATCAGAATCGATCTTTACAGATATCCCGAAAGTATGAAACAATACCTAATAAATGCGATAAGGGCTGCTATGACAAAACCACTAATTTTTAAACCATTAACTGCACCAGTTATTAAGGCTTCAACAACATTATTTTGTGCACTAAAAAAGATAGTAGAAATATCGAAAAAAAGCTGAAACTATAAGATTCTCGCATACTGTAATTGTACATTTTTAACATTATCCCATGTTGTTATTGATTTACGTGTTTCTGGAAAAAGTAATTTTGAAAATCCAAGTGCGCCTGGTGCTGCCATTACGCAGGCAGCAATTAGATGAGTAGCTGGTACCTATAATGAATAGCATTTTGAAAAAATATTATTTTATTCGAATAGTGAACGTACGCCAAGATAAATATAAGTTGCCATAACTGATCCAGACATAGTACTAAGTCCACCGACCATAATTGCCTGAAAAGAGTTGCATTTCTAGTGATGCTGAATTAGTAACAGTCGATAACGTACATGTAATTCCGATGGTGTGAGTTTTGATATCAATGGTTGAATGAGCAACGGTGCTTCACTCATTCCCAAAAAAACACTAGCCACAACAAAAACACTTTCAGCTGCTGTTGTATTCAGTAAGTATTGAAGAAACCATGCAATTTTACTTATAATAGCTTGAATAATACCGTAATAATATAATACACCAATTATAGCAGCAAGAAATATAATAATGGATGTGATCTAAAAATGATACACGATTAATAAATGCCAAGTAGAAGTAGAGTTTCACATACTTTGAAGACAAAAAAATGATCGAGATAATTTTGCCCATAAACAAATGTACATGCTGGTATAACAGAATCCATAAATGATGAAACTTCATTACCCAAAAATTGAAAAAATTCAAACCCGAAACGAGTGCGCATAACAATCATGGCCAATAAAAATTGTAACAGAAATGAACGGATAACAGTATTCCATTGAATCTTTAAAAAAATGAACAGTCGATTTTGAGTAAGATGACCGAGTGAGAAAGAGATGAAGGAATCAAGGTTTTCCGGTCCTAGTCTGTTGAAAAGTGGTTAATTGAAAAAAAGTCCAGTTGTAAGAAATGAATTTTATTTATTCGTGACAATCATTGTTATATGCACATTGTCATGGTGAAGGACTCCCTTCTTCGTTGATCGCAGCTATTCGTATTTATCTGGTCTTCTCTTTTGTGCATTAACCTTCTTTTATGAAGAAACACTCATACTTTAATAGCAGCTGTCGAAATGCTAACTGAAAAACCGAAACAAAATTCTTTTCACCAGAGTCTGTTTTGGGCTGATCAAGGAAAACTAGACTATAAAACAGCTAAAACAAAGGGAAAATAATTCATCTAGTCGCATGCAACGTCCAAATCGCTTAGCGTCGGGAGAAACGATCTCAGGAAAACTTGAACGAAAAAGCAGGAGAGTAGAAACAATTAAGCATTTAAGGTACTCTGATAATCAATCAAAGGTAAGACTTCAAACTTCACCCTTCTAATGTACATAGATGAGTACAGTAATGCACTTTGTCCTGAAAATGACATGTAACGAGATTATATCATTAAGAGCAGCAGAGTTTAACAAACCATGATTCGTCGCACCTCTTTCCTCACTGATCAATTCCCACCAATTGTCAACAAGCTTTTCGATCACAATCACACGGGAGTATTACATCAGCGCATAAGTGACTCTGGTTCTTCGAAAGCGTACCACGTTTACATCCACTGTATCCCAACAATTCGAGAGTAATCGGACTAGTACAACTCGAGCTCCCGATGACGAATATCAGGATTAAACCAACGGCATCGTGGCCTTCTAGATCTGTGAAGATGTCACGTCCAGCAGAACAGACCGTTTCCGGGCATTTTCATCGTACTTTAGAGAAACACTTTCATGAGCTGGTACCGTCAGATTACAACCTATTCCTGCGCTGCAAAATTCCTGACGGACTAAAAGTTCCAAAATGTTGAGAAGTTTTAAAAAGATCGATTTTTCTGAAAAGTAGCCCTGTTTTGTAAACCATATTTCCTCCATAAAATCATGTCAGCATAAGACACCAAGATACGCATTCGACCCATCTTTTCCAGCTCTATCCGATGAAGTGATTCTCATTGAGATTAAAAAATACCTAATGATAACAAAAAACAACTTCTGAAGGCGGTTTTCCTCGTTTTTGAAAGTTTGAGATCTTCTGCTCCATGAATGGTCTTTGGCTTCGTCTAGATTCACAATGTTTTATAGTTTAGGTTAATATGTATTGCAATGGCTTCTTTTTTACTAATAGTTGTTTAATGGTATACAATGTACTAAAACTTTGAAAAGTTTTCAAAAGTTGTTTCTTTTCTACCATTAAGTGTTTGATAATGTCAATGAGAATCACTTCATCGGATAGAGCTGGAAAAGATGGGTCGAATCTGTATCTTGGTGTCATATGCTGACATGATTTTATGG